TTAATGTGACCTTCATTTGCTAATTTACTCTATAGTACTTATCATACTGTCTATCATGATTGTTGGTTGCACTTGTGTTATACTTGGTATATTATCACTTCCCTCCTAGAATATCATAGGAGCCCCTGAATTCTTGAGTTTACCACAGGCATATTAGCACAGTAGTACCTGGTACATGGACACCACTTAAAAAATGTGTGTGTGTGTGTGTGTGTGTGTTTATGAATATATACATATATTTAGAAGGTGAGTTTGAGGAAGAAGTCCAGTGGTAGAGCCAGAATTTGCATCTAAGGCTTACCTGACTCTAAATTCCATTTTATCCACTATCCAAATTACCCCTCTTTGTTTTAGAGTAAATATATATTCCGTTCATTCATATTGTGAAGCAAATGCTGTAAGTAGATGATGACTCAGTCTATCGACACCATTCTCAAGGCAAACCAAATATAAAATAAGTAAAAATGCATTTAACTGGCCTAAATACTTTTGTGCTATGAAAGCATATATCTATAAAATTGTTATAACACAAAGAATGTTTTAATTCTTACATGGTTAATTGACAAATCTGCGGAAAGACATGGTGTTTCCCCATTTATTTATCAGAAAAGGCTTAAGAAAAGAGGACAACAGAGAAAGAACCTCTATGCAAAGAAACTATTTTAATAATATGTCAAAGCATGTTAATATCCTATATAGATAGCATTTTAGCACACAAATTAACAAGTGGAATTTCTTAAATAAAACTAAAGTCTGTCTTATACAAACTTAGGCTGGTTTTCTTTTGCTTCCTTTTTAAATTGCTTCATATAATATTTGTTCCCTACCTTGGGAAATATATGTAAAAGTCTCTAAAATTAAATAAGTTTGATATACTAAAAGAATCTTAATTTATTACATATATCTAGATCCTTTTATTCTAATTTTTTAAAAGTCAAATAATACTCTATACCATAAGCTAAATAATATAGAGAAATTAAAATATTATGTATTTTCCTTATAACAAATATATCCAGTCAGAAACAACTTCCTATAAGGAATAATGAGTGGGGGCAATATTAAAGGTGTAACTTCAATTGTGAATTCAATTCCATTCAAACCCCTTTTATTAACATAAGTTCTCAAATATTATAATAGCATGCTTCAGGATCATCTGAGATTCTTAATAAAAATGAACATTGGCAGGCCCCAACCTATGTGATGTGGGGCTCAGATATGTACATTTTAAAAGTACTTCAGGAAATTATGGGGGGAAACTGTGGGGTGTTTTACATTTTCTTTTCTTTTTTTTTTTTTTTTTTTTGAGATGGAGTCTCACTCTGTCACCAGGCTGGAGTGCAGTGGTGCGATCTTGGGTCATTGAAACCTCCACCTCCCAGGTTCAAGCGATTCTCCTGCCTCAGCCTCCAGAGTAGCTGGGATTACACGTATGCGCCACCATGCCCAGCTAATTTTTGTCTTTTTAGTAAAGACAGAGTTTTACCATGTTGGCCAGGATGGTCTTGATCTCTTGATCCTGTGATCCACCCACCTCGGCCTCCCTAAATGCTGAGATTACAGGTGTGAGCCACTGTGCCTGGCCTGTTTTACATTTTCTAAATTTCTAGAGCTCTACCAAAAGAAAAAAAGATGCTTGGGAAAATACCTAAATTTTATAGTAGCTTATAGTTTATAGCACTTTTCCATCTATTATTTCATTTAATCTTCAATACAACAGTAAGATAGGAAGAACAGGAATAGGTGTGCCCACCTTAAAAACACAAACCTAAAAGTCAAGGAGAATAATTGACTATCTTTCCACATTTGTTCTACTTACTAGCAAAGTACAGTTATATTTATTTATTCAAATAACAAATAGTTGAAGACCTGCTTTTGTGCCAAGCATTGTTCTAAATACTTGGAATAAATCAGTGAACAAAAGAGATAAAAATCTTTCCCTCATGGTGATTATGTTCTGGCAGTTGAAGACAGAGAAGCAGTAGAGATAATAAATAAGTAAATGATGAAACTAATATTCATTCCAATCTATCTATTCAAGGTAACCAGAAAGTTATCTTACACAGATTGTCAAGCAAATTTTTGAAACAATGGGCTATCCAGTTAATCAGTTTAATAGGAAAACATAATACTCAATTGCCTTAAAAGTCTAGGTAATAGAGATTTAAGTACAGTAACAGCATTTGGCAAATGTGCAACCATTTATTTTTTTATGTAGCAACAAGGCCTTACTGTACGTACACAGCTAACTCTAAACACATACACATCTTATTTCTCTTGTGGCTACATTATCTGATACAGAAGAAAAACAGAATCCACATTATCCAATCTATTCTGTAGATGGCACTGCAGGCCCAACAATGGGCTTGGCTCATAAGTCTTGCTATCACTGTCGAGCTCAGATAAGTGTCACATTGAACTGTATGAAAACCACATTCATTCTAAAAGCAGAAATCACTTTGCAACAGCAACCGTCTTATACAATTGCAGGACACAACTCCAATTTGTAATTTATTTAAAATTTTTCTTATAATGTATTAGGTCCCACAAAGGCTGAACTGGTGAAATTCTGTTTATCTTGTAGCATCTATTTTAGTTTATTGCCAGGAATAGAATAATGTCTGTTCCCCAAAGTGGAAAAATGTTTCATTGATAAACCTATACATAATAAATCATTCCTGTGGGCTCTGGGTCTGACTAAACCAAAGGCATGCTTTTTAATGGCATTTGAATTTCACTTCCTAACCCAGGAAGTTAAGTAATATTCTGCAGGGAGGCAGATTTAATGTCTGCTGAAGGTTAAGGATGAAGGGATAAAGTCAGAGGTACTGTACTGCAGTCAGACTATAATGCCAAGGAGGGTGAGCTTGTCATCCTGAGCCAGAGCGAGGAGCTACTGGAAGTCAGCTGAAGCATTTAAGAAAGAGAAAAGTCAGGGTTTCAGGTCCTGAAACCCAGACTTTTATTTTATCTTGTATTGATTGATGGATTGATTAACCTTTCTGCAGGGGTCACTAATGGCTAATGTAATGGAACTATAGAAGGAGGCACAAAACAATTCAAACTATGCCATAGGGATCAGACTACTATCTTTCCCATACACTTGAATTAACACTTAATTTTTTTCTGGCAAAAACCAAGTTCTAGCCCAGAAAACAAGTCACCGTTGATCAGACTTTCAATCGCATATTCATCAGACTGGTCTTTCTTTACAGGTACATGCTGAAACATATATAGTTGGCAAGTCTAAGCAGTTAATCCTTACGGCCATTCAAATGTCAAGTTGAAGTTTCTCAATTAAAAAGCAATTCTGGCTGGGCACAGTGGCTCATGCCTGTAATCCCAGCACTTTGGGAGGTCAAGGTGGGTGGATCACTTGAGATCAGGAGTTCAACATGGTAACATGGTGAAACCCAGCTCTACAAAAAATACAAAAAAATTAGCTGGGCATAATGGCTTGCACTTGTGGTTCCAGCTACTTGGGAGGCTGAGGTGACAGGATCCAACCTGGGTAACAGAATGAGACTCCAACTCAAAAAAAAAAAAAAGAAAAAAAATCTTAGATAGCTAAGACAATCCAGTCCTCCTACCGTCCTCACCCTTGGCTATTTCTGCTCTGTGTAAAACTGTGCCATGCAGGCTGTGCTGAGCTCTTGCAGCTGATCAACACTGGGTCACCCAGGCCATGGCAATGGCTAATCTCTCTTGCCTTTTGTCTGAGCCAGTTACTTTAAGAGGTTGACAGGAGAGAGATGAGATATTCTCTTTCTCTCCGTTCCTTAGAGCATGTTGCTTCAAGCAGGCACTCATGCTTCCTGCCCATATGGCCAACTGAACCTTAGTGACTTTTACCAAGAGTATAGAATAATACAGAGACAGATGCTTCAGATCCAGACGCAGTTTGAGGGTGTTGGAATAATGAGAAAGCAGAGTGGCAATCTGGACACACAGATAAAGAAAGGATATAATACATCAGTCCTGACCCACAACTCCTCAAGCTCACCACAATGACTTTTTCAATTACTGAGAAATTGAGGTATTGAAAGGAATCTGACAAGGACCCAGGGCTCTTAGAGTTCTGGCAGGCAACAGCCTGGATCAGAAAACCAACAAACAGACTGTCAAAGCAATGCCGTTACTCTTCTTTCCCTATAGCTCCTGTTTTAGTGCACAGCTGAGTGGTTTGCTTTAAAGAAGTCACAAAATTTACTATAAGGTCAATGCATTATAGGGCATAATAATTTCAATAACTCTAATATCACACATGATGTACTTTAATTGAAAAAAATCAAAATGACAACTTCTTAGTGATGCCCTGATTCAGCACTCATTGTTCTGTGCATTCACAGTCAGCAGTTACCAAGTGGGGAACTGTCCAAGAGGATTCTGCTCACTGCCCTCCAGCTAAAAGCAATACTATAGGCTACTGGTACAAATTAACTTAGACCTCAAGCATGTCAGTTATTATTTTTCTCAATTCTTGTCTTTTGTAGGCAATTATTTGTCTTCATGCTTCCAAGGATTCTGTTAATCCATGTTGTAACACAATTCTCAGAAAAAAGAAAACTTATCTACAGGACATATGAAGTTATGCAGAAAATAATTACAACCATAATCTACATATAGAAAGAGAAAAAAGTAAGCAGGAAGCCACAATATAAATTGCAATTTGTAATTTGAAAAAAGGAATACCCTAAATACGACAGCATAGTGAACTTAGTAGAACTAAAGAATCATGATTTTCAAAAAAATCACAAGATACTAAAATTGGATTGGGGAAGGAGGAACTTACGGATTTTTTGAGGGTGGGGTGAGAGATGTTATACCACTAAACAACTATTTTTTTTCTGAAATAAAAATTATGTGATGGTATATATTTTGTTTCCAAGAAAAGAAGTGAATAGTGAATTACTCTAGATAGAAACATAACTGCATACACATGGAATCACAGAAAACAGCTCATCTACTTGCCACTCCTTGGCTAATAATAATTTAGTGATGGGCATGTAAGTTATTATCATCTTTATTTATTTATATTTGCTAGGGCTGTGGCTGCCTTCCTGGACACTAGCCATTTTGCTCTGTCACAGTCATAAGGAAGGGCTTACATATGACATGTCCTCCAGCTAAAAGCTGTAGTGTGTGCTACTAAAGAAATATCAAGAGCTCCATATAAAGAATAGGCTTCTTTTACCACTGCAGCTAATTAACATCAACAAATGTTTCCTTTCAACAGAATTTGTCCACTTTCAGTCCATGTTCTATGATCCAGTGCTTTTCCAAACTTGGAGATTTTATTGCCTCTCAAATCACAAACATGTTATAAGGCCAGGGATCATAAAACATATGTACAATGAATGGGAACACCTAGATAATTGTTCAAGAATTCATTTGCCAATTCTTAGGGAATTACTGGGTTCTATGGAGTGATATGAGAATATTAAATACTCAGGATTACTAAGAGGTCCTATTACAGAAAAACAGAATGATTTCACTTTTGTGGCTCACCCTACTCTGCCAGTTGCACCTATGTAGCTGCACACCTTATGTAGAAAAATGCATAAGCGCAGTAGCTCAGCTTTCAGAGCAGTCCTCTCAGCCTTGGCTGTACAGGAAACACCTAGGGAGCTTTTTAAAAAACTCAAAACCAAACAAAATCCCAGCATCTAGGCTACAACTGACACCAATTACCTTGACCCTCAATATGTGGCACCAAAGCACAAGTACTTTTTATAGACTCCCAGGTGATTCCGGTGTGCAGCTGGGGTTGAGAATCCAGCTCTAACTGCATTTCCTTCAGCAATTCATCAGGAGGTATCAAAAAAGGTAATAAGAAAAAAAATAAATGACCCTGGCCCTTGGGCTAATTTATTAGAAAGTCATCAGGCAACTAATGCTCTGCTAAATTTTTTTCAAGTATGTCTGATTAAAAAAAAAATCTCTCCATAGCAGACTTGTGAATTCTGAGCTGCTGGTACAAAAGCCTCTCTTCACTGTAGGTAGGAGTGTATGAGTGGCAAGCACATGGGCTTTGGAGGCAGATGGCCAGAGGAAAAAATAAATCCCAACTCCACTGCTTACGGGCTTTGTGATCCTGGGCAACAAAGCTAATATTTCAGTGCTTCAGTTTCCCCACCTGTAAAATAGTACTTGACACTGTTAGATTACAGGGGACAATTCACAGAAAGCACTTGGAAGAGTTGCTGACATGAAAGGAAACGCTCAGTATTCGCTTCATTTTTACAAGCTATTATTTTTTGCAGGAAAAAACAGAGTCGATAAATAAAGTGTGAAATTTATGTACAATGTTATGAACTTATTTCAGTGACTTAAAAATTCCTATATGATAAATCACCGTATGTGATAGCATTTGTAGTATACTTCAGACAAAACAGTTGTTGATCTATCTTTATGCTTTAAGGTTTTAAGTTTGTTCAGCAAAGGCTTCTGCAATTTAAGAAGGTGTTTAAAATCCTTTGGGTTAACATAATTAATTTACTCTTATTGCATAGATTTAAAACACATCCTTAGAAATATTTGGAGGCAATGGAATTTTCTTTATGAGGCCTCTCTGACTATGTGAATTAGATGGATGCCTGCTATAAATGCAGGCAAAGCTACACAGCCAACTTTTTGGCTTTCATGTATGTTTACAAGGCAGTTTTGTTTGGTACTACACGGGGGAAACTTTGCTGACAGTGATAGTGATGCTGATAAGACTATCTAAGGCACAGATTTTAACCAAATTAAAACCACTGGGAACATGATAAGTCTTGACTAGCACAGCACTAAACATGGCCTTGAATGTTCAGAAACTTTACAAGGTTTTAACTTAATATTCAGGGGAAAAGTATGATATTCAGTTCTGGTGAAAACATCCTAATTCAGCTGTCCATCATGATCTGAATGAAGATAGAAGTATAATTTATTATTGTTATTACATTAGCTGGTGACTGGAAACACATTACCAATGTACAAATTAGGGCCTCTAATTCTAAGGTAATTATCAGCCAATTTCAGAGTTGTTAACAGGATTAAAATTATGAATATATTAGCTGATTCACCCTTGCAAATCAAATTTTGATTAGATAATACTACATGCTAATATGTATGCCATTCAAATTTCGTAAAAGGCTTTTTAGTATAAAAACTTTGATAAAATTTTTCAATAATGTATGCAGAGCCAGGGAGAGGGAATGAATGATTGATGGTTTTTCCTTATAAGCCTTATTAAAGGTCCTGATTTGGTTGGTCTCCAACTGTTTTGGCTCAGAATTAGAAATTCTAGTTTTGATGACAGCTCATGTGCACTGATTAGAAAAACATCTCACAGGGCTATTAAAAAGGCAAGTTAATCACTAGAAGTGTAATAGTGGATGGAACGATATTTCATACTGAAAGTTCTTGAAGACTCTGTTTTTCATTTTATTACAGGATATATCTTAAAGAAGAATCAATGAACGGTTAGTACCTACATAAGTACATGCTAACTCATTTCATGTAGGTCCTCTGTGAATTCTATCTGTAAGCAAATCCTTCTATCAACAGTACCAGGCAATGTGAAATGCAGCAAGATGGGTGAGTGGTTAGTGAGTATGTAATTGTGACATTTTTCTAATGTCCAAAGAACTTCATTTGTGGTACATCTGAACTTTAAAATACATCAATTCATCTTAAACAAAGGATCGTTGGATCATCAGGTTTGGTCAGAACAACAGCACAGAATAAATTACAGAAATAAAGCCTTGCCACATCTAACAAAAAGAAGAGACATTTGTAATTTTGTTTGCTGGGCACAACCAAGTAATCCCACAAATCTTAACCTGCAAGACAGAACATCCTTATATTCCCTTCCATGTAAACAGACACAGAAGGTGAATTTGGAATTTTAAAAGTAAATGATGCACACTGAAAAAGATAATATTTTTAATGTAGCCAAAATTTTTAAAAACTGTGCTCAATAGATTTTTTTTTTTAAGATGAGTGACAAATGCTTCTTTTGAGTGTTTATTCAGGTAATTGAGATAAAGCTCTAGTTTACTATATGGTCTGATTTTAAAAAGGAACAAAAAACTCTATTTACTGTACATGATTCCAGAAGCATCTTTGTTAAACACAAAGGTGATAATTTCCCCCCAGCTTAATATCTTTCCCCATTACCTATAGAGTACATCCAAACATCATGTTATGGTATGCAGGGTCCTTCATGAGCTGATCCCCTCCATACTTCTAGCATGTCTCTCATCTTCCCAACACCTTTACTTGCTTGTGCCAGCTATGTAAATACCCCTTACTATCATGACAAACTCTTGCAAATGAGGCACCATGTTCCCAGAATGTGCTCCTGTTTCTTTCTACAGTGCTCCAAAAGATTTCTAAGATTATTTATAATTGTGACATATCACTGCATCTCAAAAGGAAAAAAAAATGAACTTCTGGCATCAAAGGAAATATTCAACTATGGGGATATATGCATTTATACATAAGGTACACATATTTAAATCCAGTGTGAACAAGTATGTGTTTTTCCAAACTTAACAACAAAACTTACCTGACTTGATCCTATTCATAGCCCTAAGGCAAAACAGAAATTACTTTAATAAAATCATAGAAATACATAAGCATAATAACAGACTTTGAATAGAGTTAATATTTTTTCATGTTTAGAAAACCAAGTCAGTGTAGCTCATATCCCTATCCTCCTTGTTTTATGGTTCTTGGCAACTCTTTTGATTATTTGTGTTCTCAGGCAGGGCTGCCAAATCCCTTTCTCAGCTCCATCCACTGCACAGTGCAGGTCTCTTCAGTTCCAGCTCTTGTTCTGCTGCCAAGCTCCCCTTCCCTGCCTTGGTATAAAAGATGAAATGCTGCCATGGAAGGAAGCTGCCTAGCAATCAGTATGTGCAGAGCAAATAGGAGTTTCCTTAAATCCCTCTCCTTAAAAAGATCAAAGGGAGCATAGCTTTGCATCTTATAGTCCTTTTATTGATAGTCTACTTCTGCTTCTATTATGTCTGCCTCCTACCCCTGGTCCTTTTTCTTTATTTATTCAATTATAAAAGCATAAAGTTTGTTTTTAGATATGCAAGGACATCAAATACCAAGATTTTTAGTCTCTATGGTTCCCAGAATGAAAATTAAGAGATCTGATGAGAGCTGAAATAATTGAATTAATACTTCTGATAAATATTCTAAACGTACACTATGGTCTGCAATTGAGTATATTGATTCTTGGAACTTAAATTGCTGTGCCACACAGTATCAGGGAGGTTGGTTAAATGTTAGCACGTATTTTAGGCAAAAGGTCAGCAAGTTTCTAACTTTTAAAAAGTTTCTGCAAAATTATATCAGCCTCCCCAAAGGCCCCCTACCTTTTTTTTTTTTTAAACAATGTAATCAGAACTACTTTTCATTCTCTCAGGGATCCATCTATCTATCCTCTGATAAACTTAATATCCACTTTTCCAAATCAACGCGACCAGTGTATACTTTGATTAGAATTTCCTGTTTTATAATCCATTCCTTTAAAAACAACTTACAAAGGCAAAAGATTCTGGGATTTGTTCTCTTCAAAGGTATAAAGCACAAAGTGAGGCATTATTAGTACTTCTGAACACACATAACAAAAGAAATCATTTAGCACCATTTCAGCATATTCTCCACTCAGGAGATTCATGCATATTTAAATGAATTAATTTATTTTCTGCAATTTGTTCTTTAAGTGCTTAAGTGGCCATTTGCTGTTGTTTATTTCAGGATTCTGTGCCCTTGTTCTCTGAGTCACTAACTTAGAGCTTGAGTGCTCCAGGTGTATTTATGCTCCCAAAGTATTTTAAATTACCCATTAGGAAATCCAATTTCCTATTTATAAGACTCAGAAGTGATTTTCTACTGTTACTTTTTTCTTAATTAAGGATATAGGCCTAAATTCACAGTGAGTTTTTGGTACTATATTTATTATTGGCTCCATGACAGTCAGTATTATAGAATGTCACCAATATTAGGCTCTCAGATAGTCACTTAAGATGGGCTACTCTTGGAGTCTATTGGGATTGACATTTTGGGTACCCATTAAAATCATCACCATAACAATATCCACTATTTATACTGTGTGCCAAGCACTGTACATGTACTATCTCATTTACTCCTTTTGACAGTCCTATGAAGAGTTATTTTCTCTATCATTCTTTGTTTTACAGATGAGAAAATATAATTTAGAGACACGAAACACAAAGTCACATACCTAGCAACTGGCAAAACCAATATTTAAACCCCACTCCATCTTCCTTCCAAACTTTATAGTGATCCATCTGTGGCTAGGGCATGGTGATTGTGTTTTGGCGGGTATAGATGATTGAGACCCAACTTCTGTTTTGAAAGACACTCAGTAATCTCATTCAATAATTTCAGATGGTGATGATTGCAATAAAGAAAACAAAACAGGGCGATGTGCTGGAGAAGCTTTGTTGGTGGGTTGGTCATGCTAATGTAGATCTGTAGTACTGTACTTTTTGAAGGAGATTATTAGAAACAATCTCCTTCAAGAAGTCACATCTAAGCTAAGACTCGAATAATACAATGTGGGAATCTACTGAAAGACAGGAAAAATGGTATTCCAGGCAGAAGGAAAAGCAGGTACAAAGGTCTAGGCAGAAACTGAAAGGTCACTGAGACTAGAGTTAAGTGAGTAAAGAGAAAGTGGCACCTAGGCTGGGAAAGAGAGAAAAGGCCAGGTCATGAGATGTAGGTAAGAGTGTGGCTTTTATGTTACATGTGAAGGAACCCATTAGAGAGTGCCTAACTGGGGAGTGACATAGTTTTATTTTGGCTTCAGAAAGATTGTTCTGGTTGTTTTGCCAAGAATGATTAGACAAGGTGATCAATAAGGAAGGAGACCATGCAGGATTCCATGAGAGAAATCACCTAGACTAGGATGGGACAAGGAGACAGAGAGAAGGGAAGAATGAGTCTATGGTGTTTGGTTTGAGCTGATGTGTAGATGGTGGTTGACTGACATGGGGAAAACAGAGAACAGGTGGGGCAAAAATCAGGTTGTCGTTTATAGTCATTGGGTTAGACAAGGTTCTTAGGCATTCATTCAGCAAAAATTTACTGAACAATTCGGTGCTCTTGTGAGCATTAGAGATAAGTTATGAACAAAGCAGATGAAGTTTCTGTGCTCTAGTGAGCTTTCATCCCAGGAAATGTGGTACAAATGAAGAATAGTCAGAGAGGGCAGAAGTGGAAATATGTATTTGAGAAACAATGACATTTAGATGTATTTAAAGTCATGAGTCATGGTAAGATCATTTAGGGAGAATTTACAGGTAAAAAGAACAAAAGAACCCAGGACCAGACCAAGCAGAGGGACATTTTCTATTGAGAAATGGTGTATACAAAACACATTTGGTGACTTCTAGTTTAAAAACTTGTCTGTTTTTGAAAATACTGACATGGCAAAGTGACCTACCCTCTATCTCCCATTGTATTTTTAGATTGCTTAAATACAAGTCCAAGAAATTTGTTGATGCGCTACTCTCATTTTCTTCTTCCATTCAATAACATCTTCTTTTTTTTTGAGACAGAGTCTCACTCTGTCACCGAGGATGGAATGAAGCGGGGTGATCTCAGCTTACTGCAACCGCCGCCTCCTGGGTTCAAGTGATTCTCCTGCCTCAGCCTCCCGAACAGCTGGGACTATAGGCACCTGCCAGCATGCCCAGCTAATTTTTGTACTTTTAGTAGAGACAGGGTTTCACCATATTGGCCAGGCTGGTCTTGAACCCCTAAGTTTGTGATCCACCTGCCTTGGCCTCCAAAAGTGCTGGGATTACAGGCATGAGCCACCATGCCCAGCCTTTGTTTTCTTTTTAAAGGGATAAGGTCTCACTCTGTCGCCCAGGCTGGAGTGCAGTGGCACAATCATGGCTCACTGCAGTCTTGAACTCTTGGGGTCAAGCAACCTTCCCACTTTGGCCTCCCAAGTAGCTAGAGCTACGGGTGCACACCAGCATGCCTAATTTTTTGTATTTTTTGCCCAATACCTTCTTTATTAAAAATTCATTCATCTGGCCAGGCACAGTGACTCATGCCTACAATCCTAATACTTTGGGAGACCAAGGCAGGTGGATTGCTTGAAGCCAGGACTTTGAGACCAGCTTGGGGCACATAGATCACATATCTACAAAAAATTAGCTGGGCTTAATGGTACATGCCTCTAGTTTCAGTTACTTGGGGAGGTGAGTTGGGAGAATTGCTTGAGCCTGGGAGGTGGCTGCAATGAGCCATAATTGTACCACCACACTCCAGCCTGGGTGACAGAGTGAAACCTTATCTTAGAGAAAAAAAAATCAATTCATCAGTAAAATTACACAGAAAACCCAACTAACTATAAAGCTTGAACCACAAACCTCTAAATAATTTGTCACTGCCGTAACAATTAATGGTAAACCTGTAAGAGCAGCTGAATCCATGAGTCACCTTCAGATGAGGGAGAAAGCACATATAATTTCCATAACCCTGATTCTAACTCCACAGGTTTCTTTTCAATTCAAAGAAGCATACTAAATTGACAGTGAGAGGCATTGCTTTAGGAGTGAATTTTAATCTGCTTTAATGAGCTTTTAAAAACTCAATCAAAATCATTAGTACTTACACTTAGTTACAGAGTACTTGGGGCCTAACTGACAGGTGATTGAGACATACTGTGGCACTTAAGAATGGCTGCCCTCAGCAGGCTTGCCCACAGTCAGTGGCTCCAGTCCACTCTACCCGCTATTTCACACTGCAATTTTGCTGGAGAGAAATTCAGAACTGAAGAATCCTTTACGTTCAACAATTAGTCCTTCTTGTGATTCAAAATGTCACCCACTCTCCTTGATAAGTATTTGAAATTTCCTAAATCCTTCCCTCAACCCAGTGCCTCATCCCCGATGCTGTGGTGCACGTCTTGGTAAAGACTCTCGCCACTTAGCAGTGCTGTCATCTCTGAGTGTCTTCACCTTAATACCTAACTCATCATCTCTCATTTCCTTCTTTGTCCCTACGTTCAAAGGTGGAGCTACACATACTTTTCTTGAAAGGCTCCCTCCTCCAGTCTGAATTCCATCTTCCATCTTGAGGAATACCATTTCTACACTCCACCTACCCTCTCCCTATTTCTTCCATCTCTCTCTGGATCTCTGGAGTTTCCCGGTCCTTTTGATCTTTCAACATAAATAGACTTCTTTCATCTTGGACATAAAGGCTTCCTTAATAATGAAGCCTTCACAAGTATATATCTTCTCTTATCACTGATAAACTTCTTTTTAAAAGCTTAATAAATTTCCTGCCATTGAGCTTTCAACATACATTTAACTCTTTTCAACACCTCCTTAATAAATAGAAATGTGGCTCCTGTTCCTACTATCCTGTTACTGCTCTGCATATTTAAGAGTGACCAACATATTTCTTTAGTAAAAATCCAACAATTTTAATCTCTTTTGCATTCAACTTATTAATCCCTCTTTAAATGATAGCTTAATTCTTGGCTAACCTCTTCTTCTCCCTGGTCTACTCACTGTTGCTTCTTTGCCTTTTGTTTTTTCTATAAAATCTGTTCTTTTTTTTTTTTTGCCAATCTGTAAATATGAGTTTCTCAAGGCTAAGTAACTCCTTTCCTGGTTACTTCTTCTAGTTAACAATGCCAGAGAAATGTGTAAGGTCTGTATATTTAAAAGCAGGGACTCTAATAAGGAATCCTATTATTAATCAATGCCAATTAAGCATCTACTATTAAGTTACTAAGTACAGTGAGCAAAATATGAAGGGCTTATAAACTAAAAGAGTATACAACCTAGTTATGTGGATAAAACAAACAAAATAACTAAAACAAACACAAACCCACCTTTTACGTATGTGTTAACACCATTACAAATACCTGTTGGAAACAGTAGAGTAAGCTGAACTAGGATTTTTCTGTTTTCTTTCTTTTTTGCAAAGCAAATATTACAAGTTTCATGAATGGGGACACAATAATGCAAGAACCAATTTCATTTGCCTTTGGTTTTATAATGATACCTGCCCTTACATGAGAGTTCTGTACAATTTTCAGCATCTAAAAGGAGAACGAATCTAATGAAATGCTTTAGACCTTGACTCATGCTCAGAGCAGTAAAGAAATGATCCAGAAAAAAGCATCTGGGGGAGCAGAGGATTCATTTAAGACTCCAAATCCCCCCAAAAGGCAATGATTTCCAAAAATTCCTCCATTGCCACTCCCAAGGTAAGCCCATCTGGACACATACACAGACACTCACTCAGACTCAAATTTGTAATAGGCACATTTTGGATCATATTATTTTAAACCATATCAACTTCTGGCAGGGGTTGCAAGTATTTTTACCCTTAAAATGAAACTTATCCTTCATTATTCTAATTGCTTTAAAAGTTATGATAAAGAACTCCTGCTTGAACATCTTTTACCATAGCACAATTGATTCTGTATCCCATCACAAAATTCATGTGGGTAAAATGCACTTGCTGATTTAAATAAGGTTTTAATTATGTAAAATAAGCAAAGGAACTATTCTGGATGACTAGGAGGGCACACAGACGATAAGCACCAAATTCTTGAGGCAAATCCATTCTACTCAAGGGAATAAGAAATATGCACAAAGAATGATGCTATTTATATGGAAGACTTACATGGTATACTTTAGGAATTCAAAGGAAAGAGAAATTGCATTTAGTTATAAAAGCTTCATGAAGGATGTGATTTGAAATGGCCCTTGTAGATGAGTAAAATTATTGCAAGGGGAGACATTAAAGGGAGAACACATTCTGGGAATACCAGGGGGTGGGGTCATGCATTATGGGAAAATGGAATATGTGTTGGACCTCAAATGCTTTTAATAGGCTCTCAGGAGGAAAGGACAAAAATAGTACAATTCTACTACTGAGAATAAAGAAGAAAGACTAATGCTAGAGATGAAAAAGATTTTGAGATAGTTTAGTTCAAAGTTAGTCATTTTAAAGAAAGAGAGCTACGTAGTAAGGATGGAGGAGAAGTGAGCTCATATTTATATCATCATGGCAGTAGCAGGGGATCAGGAGGGAAGGCTGCCAGAGCTATCTCTGTCCTCATTCACTCTGTCCTACAAGCACAAGGCAGATTTTTCCTCTCTTTAGTACTGCACCCACCTATAGGGAATGAGCCTTAATTATTAAATTCGCACAGTAATTGGCATGTACCATGGTGGCAGGAAATGGCCCCTCTTCACTGTTCTCTCTAGAAAATCAGCATTTGGTAGGATACAAGTTAGTGAAAACACCACAAGTTTCAATTTACATTTTTCTTAATTGTATGTCAAATTTAAATTGTCTACAATTTGATTATCTCTCCTGGCAGACTTGCCACTTGTACACTGCATATAACTAATTTCTTCATGGTTAAGATAAAAATTAGTTATCATCTGTAGTTGTTTGAGAGAGTCTGGAAGCATTCTTGCTTTGATACTTTTTTCCTAAGCATAACACACACACACACACACACACAGAGAGAGAGAGAGAGAGAGAGAGAGAGAGACAGACAGAGAGAGAGAGACCAGATTTAGAGATAGTTGCAAGAGAAAACTTGCTAATTTGAAATTAAATGTGTCCAGAAAACAGATGAGTGGAAAAGGCTGATGTGCTTCTCCAAAAGTGAAACCTTGCAATTAAGATGAGAAGACAGCCGAAGTGTGATGCTGGCGCTGGAGCGGCTGGGGGATCTCAACACGGCTAATGAATCATCATCAAAGTGATTTACCGACCGCAGCCAGAGCTTCAACTCTGTCTCAGTGTAAATGAGGAATAATAATAATTTCCCAGTCCGCGCTTGGCTGTGAACTTCCGAAGAGTGAGAACCTTCAGCAGGAGATGATAAAGTGTAGAGATGCCATAGGACGTCTTCTTCCCCAATGTTCAAAGCCACTGTCATACAGTGAACTACATCTCACAAAACTGACAGGAGAAGGGTATGCACAACACAATGTCAACTCCAACACTGCTTCCAAGCAAAAGTCCCCTGAGTCTCATCCTATTACAGCATCTCAAGGGGATTGTTCATTGCTGCCACACAGAAACCTAACGAGGAGAGGGATGCCTCCTTAGAATATCAAGCTCCTGACATTTAGAATCTGGATTCACGCCCTTCTCTGTGGCTTCAGTGGCCATGGTTTTCAAACCAAAAGAAACCTTGGATATCATGTATCATCATATATACGATCAATCCTCTTTGTATGTATGAAGAATCCATGTTACTTGCAGTATCATTTATGTCATTAGTTACAGAGTCAGACTTTCAACCCTATTGTCATCTTCCCTCCTCATTATGAACTGAAATAAACAGATACATACTTTTTCTCTGCTACATTTTAAGGAAAACTCAAGATATAAATTACATACAGAGAAGAGAAGTTATATATCATGCAATAATCTCCAGAGACTTATTTGTCAAGATATTTAAAGCACTGATCTGGGTGGGAGCTAACACTGAGTACACATGGACACAATGAAGGGAATCACAGACATCAGGGCCTACTTGAGGGCAGAGAATGCGAGGCAGGTGGGAGGTGAGTGAGGATGGAAAAACTACCTATTGGGTACTGTACTTACTACCTGGATGACAGAATAATGTGTATATCAAACCCCCACAATATATAATTTATCTAGAGAAAAAACCTGCACATGAACCCTGATACTAAAAGTTAACAACAACAAAAATAAAGCATGGATTTGTTCTCATTTTTGACCCTTTTATAATATTCCCAAAGCCAGAGGATCATTATCTCTCTTTCTAGTTCAAGTCTACTCTTTTCTCTGGAAGGGGAAAGAAAATACTGTACAATTCCCTGATGCACCCCTTTAGCTTGAGAATTTACCTGCTCTCCATGTAACCTATGCCTTGATATTCCTTAAAGTATAGCTATATATTCATAGAACTATGCAAACACTTCACTACTAACTATTTGGGATACATGGGTGTATATATAAAAGCTCTCTGATGCCGATACTTCTATTTTGGTCTGCATAATGGCCATTTCTCCAGTTTGATCTCCCTTCTTTTTAATTTAAGCCTAGTGTTCTCCAAGTATTTTTAGCTTTTTATTTCACAATTTGATCTCCAAAGAATCTAGCAGACAAAGTGGTGGCTCACTGCTGAAAAACCTGCATACAGTTTAAACCTACTGCAACCTTGTCTTCCTAACTCTATTAACATTGCTCTTTTTTACCCTTTAATCTTGAGACACTCAAAAACATTGTTTTAACCATTTATTCCTCTTTGAGGATGCTCAGTATATCTTTTTTCTTCCCTTGAATCCTTACCACAAGTTCCTTGAGAACCATGATGAATGGTAACAGTTGATAATTACCCTAGAAATCAGATATCACAGTAAGCCTAAGTTACACTTACATTACCCATTCTACAAATCTACTAGCTCGTACACTTGTGGTTCACAGAGTAGAAAGGAATCTCTTGGGTGGTGCCTAAAACATGATTTTTTAAACTGTTAAGGTATTTGCTCTCTTATTTGTCTTTGGGCTGGCCCAATTTCAGAAAAATTTCATTGTAATTTAGAAAAATGACTTGGAGATAGGCTATTTCACTACTACCACATCCAAACATTTTAAAAATGGTTATGTAAATAACTAGTGATGAATCCATTTTATGTATTTAGAGGACTCAGAAAATATGAACTTGGGCCAGGTATGGTGGCTCACACCTGTAATCCCAGCACTTTGGGAGGCTGAGGCAGGAGAATTGTTTGAACCTGGGAGGCAGAGGTTGCAGTGAGCCAAGATCATGCCACTGCACTCCAGTGTGGGCAACAGAGCAAGAGGCTGTCTCAAAAAAAAAAAAAAGAAAATATGAACTTGGACAATTTATCTGTCATCTTGTGTCTCAGTTTTCTCATCTATAAAATTGGGATAATAATACTTTACATTAAAAAAGGTTGACATTATACCGGAATGAGTATAGAGAAAGGACAAGTGGGAGATACATGAAAGACTTACTCAAGGTATAAAATACTGTTATTTGGAACCAGTAGAATATTATAACCAGTGTGCTGTTCCCAGAGCAAAACTTTATTCACCTGTACCCTTGATTCTTTCTCTACAATTCATGTAATCACCAAAAGTTATTGCTTTCTTGTCTCAGTGTATTAACTGGATGGTTGAATGCACAGAGGTCACATCTGAATCAGCACAAAAATGAAACCTGGAGGAGGGGTAACAAAAAGGGACTCAGACTTACACTGAAGTCATTCTCATCAGTCAACCTGCCCACACAAATACTGGGAAATCAACTCATTTAAACAACTTGGGAGGCAAGCCTGAGTTATAATAATGTTCCTGAATGCAGGTCAATGAAAAATTGGTCCACACACAAATTCTCACTTGTCATATTCTCTACAATGCAAGTTAATTGTTTTCATATTTAAATGCCCAGAATCAACCATAAGAAATGTGTCAGGTTGTTGGGAGTTTTATTAAAACAAAACAGGATGACTATGGCATATGGTAAATTATAGTTGGTTCTTTGTGCTCTCAGCAGAATCACAAAGGGCAAGGACTTAAGAGAAATCATTCGTGTCGGGTTCAAATTCTACAACATCGAAAATGGAACTGGAGCTGAGTTAATAAAATATGTTATTAAATCCTAGTTTGTAGTTGACTGTGTGTCATTAGTCTTATATGCCTGAAAATGTAGTATTTGCTTACAGGTAGAATACTATACAATCTTCACAATGACATAATCTAAAAAGTAATCTTGTTTTTCCTTGTATTTTTCTCTACAGAGAAATAATATCTACTGCTAATCAACCCCCTCCCCATCATGCCTTCTTCATAAAAGCTGGGTCCTAGAGTTTCCCAGGATTGTCAACTGGTGCAATCATTCCTCAATGCTAATATTCAGAACTCATCAAAAGTGGCAATTTTGTGGTCTATAATTCCCAGCTGACCAAATTTTACACATAATAAAAAACCTAAACTTGTATTCTATCAGAGTATACGTATATGTGGGTGTGGAAGGGGTAGGAATAAGAATGATAGCCACATAAGTAGTCCAGCAGCAGTTTAATGGTGTATGTGCGGTCTGAAGTAACTGATAACTGCTAGTAACTGATAACTAATATCTGCAAGGACCTTTGTAGTCTGGAGACTCTAACAACATGTGGCCAGAAAGGCAAAAAAACAGGAGGGAGAAAGTCTGACTCTTTCTTGTTGCCTTTACAGCCACATGTTAGAGTCTCAGGAATCTTATTTCCACATCAGATTGCTGCCTGTTAACGGTATAAACTATCAGTCTCTCATATAAGTACAACTTAAAAAGGTTAAAAAAAAAAGGAGACATGCAAAAAGGATGGGAAAAACATCTCTAAGAAGAGACTGGATACAACTTGCCACAGAGTGGAGAGTTAGCTCCAGCCTAAGCCTGCTGCCTTCTTTCCTGGTTCTGAAGCATCAAAATACACATGTGGCTAACCTTACTATAATTCTTGGAGAACAGTAACTATGCTGAATGGAAATGGCAACCCCATTCCCTGTTGAGGCCATCAAATAAGTTCCACCTATATAATTCATTTTGTTTATGTCTTGATTCTTAAACACAAGTTACCTCAGGTAATGACAACACTGACATTCAGTTGTTCAAAAAGAATACAATTACACATCGTCTTTACACATCAATTTTCAGAGTAATTGTATAGATTCAATGGCATGATAATTGCTTTCAAGAAGTATTATTTTAGAAAATCACTGGATTACTTACTATCGAATATGGTAGACTAAATAATGCACCACTGAAAAAGTCCTCAATTGTAATCCCTGGAACCTGACAATATACTACTCATGTGGCAAGAGGAACTTTACAGATGTGTTTAAGTTTGATGAAAAGAAGGCAGAAGACTTAGAGAGAAAAGAAAGTATGACAGCGGAAGGAGCGGTCAGAAAGAGGGAGAGAGATTTGATGCTGCTATGCTGCCAGTCTTGAGGATGGAAGAAAGTGTTAAGAGCCAAGAAGTGTGGGTGGCCTTTAGAAGCTGGAAAAGGTTAGGAAAAAAAATCCATCCTGCAGCCTGCAGGAGGAATGAAGCTTTGCCAATGCTTAGATTTTAGTCTCATGAGACTCATTTTTGACTCTGTCCTCCAAACTGTAAAATAATGAGTTTGTGTTGTTTCAGGCCACTAAGTTTGTGGTATTTTGTTATAGTAGCAATACGGAACTGATACATCTGAAAACATAAAAATTTTAATAAATGTTAATTTTCTGATCTACCTATCAAACAATACCCATTCTAAGTCTATCTTCAAACATACTGTCAAACATAAAATTTCCTACACTATAAAATTCCCTCTATGTCATATACCCCATATTCTGCACCTTGCCTGCTAGCTCTACTTTAATTGGGTTGTGCTTGTGCCTTGGCCAACTTCCCCAGTTTCTCTCTTGAATATCTGAACTTTAAGAAAATCTCAGTATTATTCTGATACTAAAACCAGATAAAGACATCACAAGAAGAGAAAGCCACAGAACAATATCTGTTAGAAATATGGATGCAAAAATCCTCAACAAAATAGTCAGAAACAAAATCCAGCAACATATAAAAATCATTATACATTATGACCAAGTGGGATTTATTCCAGGGATGCAAGTTTAATTTAATATCTGAAATTCAGTTAATGTAATACATATCAATAGAAGTTTTAAAATCAAATGTTCATTTCAATAGATGCAGAAAGATATTTTACAAAAGCCAACACATTTTCTTGATATAGCCACTCAACAACTGGAAATAGAAAATAACTCCCTTAGTCCTAATAAAGAACACCTGTGAAAAGCCTACAGTTAACATCATTCTTAAGAGTAGAAAACTAGATGCTTTCTTCCTAAGATCAGGAACACAACAAAGACGTACATTCTCAATACTTTTGTTCAATACAGTATTCTAGCCAGGGCAATTTGGCAAGAAAAAGCATCCAGATTTGAAAAGAAGTAAAAGTACTTCTATTTGCAGAAGTCATTATCTTGTATATAGAGACCTCTAAGAAATCTCTAAAAATTCATTAGTCCTGAAAAATAAGTTCAGCAAAGTTGCAGGATACAAGATAAACTGCAGAAATCAATTGTATATCTATATGCTTACAATGAACAATCCCAAAATAAAATTACTTCCATTTACAACAACACAAAAAAGTACTAAATAATGTAACAAAAGAAGTACACAACTTATATTATTTAAAAATAACATGGAAAGAAATTAAATAGATATGAATAAATGAAAAGCATTCCATGTTCATGGATTAGAAGACAACATTGTTAGGATGGCTATACTCTCCAAAATAATCTATAGAATCAATCTCTGTTAGAATCCTAGCTATAACTTACAAAATTATATATAAAAATTAATACAGCACAGATCAAGAACCTAAATGTAACCATATAAACTATAAATTCTTAAAAGGAAATATAAGAATAAGTTTTCATGACATGGATTTGACAACCAATTCTTAGATATGATGTACAAAGAATAAGCATCAAATGAAAAAATAGATAAATAAGACTTTTTCAACATTAAAAGTTTTTCTTTTTGCTTTAAATAATACCATTAAGAAAGCAAAAAGAGAGCCCACGAAATAAAAGAAAATATTTGCAAATCATATATCTGATAAGGGACTTGTATCTGGAATATATAAAGAACTCTAATAATTCAATGATAAAAAGACAAATAACTCAATTTAAAAATGGCTGAAGAATCTGCACGAAAGGTATACAGATGGCCAAGAAGTACCTGAAAATATATTCCACATCATTATTCATCAGGGAAATGTAAGTCAAAACCACAATGAGATATCACTTCACATACACCAGATTGGCTAGAATAAAAAAGTCAGTAAGTGTTGGTAAGGAGATGACAAAATTAGAACTCTCGTACACTGTTGGTAGGAATAGAAAACAATGTAGTTCTTTTGGAAAATAATCTGGAAGTTCTTCAGCAATTAAACATAAAAATACAATAATGCTCAGAAACTGCACTCCTACTTATATACCCCTCATAAATGAAGACATGTCTACACAGAAATTTGTATGTCATTGTGTATAGCAGCCTTATGTACAATAGGCAAAGGTGGAAACAATTCAAATGCCCATTAATTGACAAATAGATAAAATGTGGTATAACCATACAGTGGAATATTATACACCCATATAAGTGAATGAAATACTGATGTGTATATCAATGAACCTTAAAAATGTTATGCTAAGTGAAAGAAGTCAGTCACAAAAATCCCTATATTACATGATTCGTTTCATATGAAAGACTAGCATAGGAAAATCTAGAGATAAAAATAGAGAAGTAGCTGCTTAAGGCTGGAGCAAAAAGGCATGGGATGGGGGGATGTGAGGGTGACAGCTAAAGGATACATGGTTTCTCTTTGAAAGAATGAACTTTCTAAATCTGTCTGGTGATGGCTACACACATATTTTAATATACTAAATACCATTGACTATACATTTTAAATTAGTGAATTGTATGATATGTGAATTATACCTCAAACATGTTTAAAAAAACAGATGCCATTTCTTTCTAGTTTAGTTTCATGGAACTAGAATCAATGCTTGCCTTCTAGCAGATCATACTGGTCTGATTCTTTTTACTTGACTTGGCACAAAGTCATGGCCATGATCCTTTTTAGGCAAAGATAGCACAGCATAGCTCTTTGTGAGACCTTTTCCCAGTGCACAAATATGGAAGTGACATAACCGGCCCCTTGTTGCCAGGGCTACCACTGACCTCTACTTGGAAGTTAAATAGTATTTTGCAATAACAAAATACACATTTTTAAAAAAAAACAGACTGCAACAGTTTGTGATCCTTAAAACATCACAAGTGATTGCAATTTGGTTTGTTAACAAATAACTTTTAAAAGGTAAAATAATGGCTCATACAAATGTAAAATGAACATGTCAGATATTTTATTTGTCATGAATTCATGAAAAAAACCTGTAAATAAAAAAAAACTGCTTCAAGGAGACTCTACAAGGATAGACACATCTGTAGATAATCAAGAATGCAGACATGAGCTTGTTAATGAATAGGAAACTGGCCACTGCATTTTATCAGAACAAAAACTCATTTGACTTATACAGTAATTATTTATATTACAATTAGCCCCTTACCAGTTAGCTTCTAATAAACAGAGTGGCAAAATAATAAA